TTTGTTGTCAGCAAAGGTTTGATAAAATATTAGAATTTTTCGTAAAAGTAAAATATTGCTTTATGTTTATTACCTTATAAATCATCAAACTATGTAAAATATTGTGGTCTGTTTCATTTTGGCTTTTACCTACAGACTACCATAAAATTTCAAACAGTAAATATTCTATTCTGAGCTGAGAAAGAGACTGCCGCATTGCACTGCTCTCCGTGTAATTTAGACTTTTGGGGGTGATGGGTCATTTTTGGCAGGATCATAGACATGCGAGCAAATGTTTTCCAAAGCCCTTTTTCCAAGTTGGATTTTTAAAGAAGAAACTGAACGAAAAAATATTACAAATTCCAAAATCTTTATACGTATATTATTTTTGCTATCCAAGGTTCCGGAAGCTAGCGCACCATCATGGGTCAACTTTCAGGCTCTATTCATATGAACGACATGATCTTGCATAACGTACGGAATTTCCACCAATCAAAGTGGCCAGATTTGCAGACTCGTTCATTTATAATGCAGGTGTGGACTACGCAAAACAAGTCCGGAAATGTGATTGGCTGTTATACCACTTTCGGTATAGATGCGCCTATTCGCTGTGTACAAATGGCTGGCACGTTCGCCAAGTCAGGATTTCTNTTGGGTTTTTACATTTAAACGATTGTAAGTTATTACTTGAAGGACCTTTCATGTCGAGCGATATCGTACCTAGGTCTCCTTGTTCATGCACGTTTGTTTTCATTCGCCGTGCTTTCTTGAAAACGAGATTGTACAACCTTGCAAAGATTTACCTACCTGCAGTCGATGGGTTCCAGATTCCGTTAAGTTGACATCACACATCTGTTGTCACAAAGGTTAGATAAAATATTAGAATCTTTCTTAAAAGTAAAATATTGCTTTATGTTTATTACCTTATAAATCATCAAACTATGTAAAATATTGTGGTCTGTTTCATTTTGGCTTTTACCTACAGACTACCATAAAATTTCAAACAGTAAATATTATTCTATTCTGAGCTGAGAACGAGACTGCCGCATTGCACTGTTCTCCGTGTAATTTAGACTTTTGGGGTGATGGGTCAGTTTTGGCAGGATCATAGACATACGAGCAAATGTTTTCCAAAGCCCTTTTTCCAAGTTGGATTTTTAAAGAAGAAACTGAACGAAAAAATATTACAAATTCCAAAATCTTCACACATATATTATTTTTGCTATCCAAGGTTCCAAAGGCAAGCGCACGATCATGGGTCAACTTTCAGGCTCTATTCATATGAACGACATGATCTTGCATAACGTATGGAATTTCCACCAATCAAAGTGGCCAGATTTGCAGACTCGTTCATTTATAATGCAGGTGTGGACGACGCAAAACAAGTCCGGAATTGTGATTGGCTGTTATACCACTTTCGGTATAGATGCGCCCATTCGCTGTGTACAAATGGCTGGCACGTTCGCCAAGTCAGGATTTCTGAACTGATCTCATAGTAATAAGTGGACACAAGAGGGCGTGAAGCAAGTAACGGCACCCAGTCTTGCCCGATGTGTATCAATCCTAGAAACCAAGACGTCACAGAGATCACGATTTGAGTCAAATCTAAGGAGCAATGCGCCCTTAGCTCTAGTGCCCGAAGGTGATGCAGACTAAACGAGCGAATTCCAGTTTTGGACTGGTCCCCGTCCCTATCTTTATACACGGAACAGTGGTTAGCTGGCACCCTGTAGATCAGGGTGGCTAAACCAGAAATAAAAGGTTATTTGTACATCTGGGGCCAATTTTATAGCTGCTTAAAATTAAGCACAACATTTGTTTCAGCGCGAAAAACCCTGCTTGAAAAGCAAAGATTACCAACTCAAAAACTATGTGATTATCATGCTACTGAACCAAAAGTCAGATGAATAACATATTTATCACATGGAGGTTTGGCTGGTAACCTGATTTGTCAAGCAAGATTTTTTTTTCACGCTTATAAGGTTCAGCAAATTTGGTGCTTAAGCAGCTCTATGAAATTGGCCCTTGGACTTCGATGTCGATAGCACATCGAAAGTTGTTTTCCATCATATTCATCGCCGTGGGAATACAAGGGCAAGGTTGTTTTTCGCCGCCCCTGGCAACCACTCGCGGGAAGTACAAATCGCAGTGAGATCGCATTGGCCAAATTTTGTACGACCATGTTTAGCGCGGTGCCGAAACCGCGGATACTAACATGAAAAAAAAAGTACATTTAGTTACTTA